AAAAAAAAAACTTTAGTAGGAACCGTAAAGCCAATCTAAAACAGATAAAAACTCTACTCCTGCTCAAAAGATCAGGAGGAGTGTGAACCGGACGATAGGCTAACATATCTAATCCTATTAAGGAAATATAAATAAAAAGTAAATCAGATTTCAGAGTTTAGGTGGAGGCGTTAGAAGTATAGACTTAAAATGGACTTTAGATGGAACTGTAAAAGCAATCCTGAATAGAAAACATCTACTCCTGGTCGGGGAGATCTGTGAACCGGATGATTAGCGCAAAGTGAACGAAACTGAATCAGGAATTGAACCCTGCCAGCCGAATTCATTTTCCCCGCGTATAACCGTTACACAGTCCGTATCTCAGAAAACAAAGAACAGACAACTTAAAACAGTAACAATTGTACTATTAAATGACAGCATGCAATAAATGAACAGAAAAAGTTTTCCTCATATTTTTATTTCAATACTTTTAACTTAAATCTCTCTACCTAATTCTTGGAAAGAAAACTTTTCTATCCACCGATTGAAAAAAAAAAGTTTTAAATCCATTTTCCTTTTTATTATGTCCACAAATTTTCTTTTTGAAGCTTAGACAACGCTTCCAAGTTTTTCTTTATTTCTTTGACATTTCATAATTTGATATATTTTGTGGTTCTTAGTGCAAGAAGTTGTATCGATCCAATTCTGCTGGAAGGTGACTATGGCATCTTATGCTTCTACCGAAGATGGCCCACGAATGTTCACTTTAGTTCCAGCAAGCCGATTTGTCCATCTTGGTAATTTTTTTTCGGTTTGTAATCATTTGAACAGAGTGGACCGTGCCCAGTAAACATGTCTAGCCAGACTGGCAGCTTTGTGCGTAATTCAGGACGTAAATTTTCATTATATTCCTACGTTTCAATTCATATAAACAGTGACGCAAAAGACGGCGCTTTCATGATGTTCCTGAGCGTCTTCTAAAAAGATAAAAAAAAAAAAAAAAAATGTCGTCTGCCTGCTTAGAAATAAATATTTATTTCAAAACATCTTATTATTTGCAGTATTTTCAGTGAGTCCAATTTTAAGTTGCATCTATTTTTTTTTTCAAAAGCAGGTTTTCTTTGTTCTTATATAATTCAGAGCAGAGACAACAGGAGTGCATTGAATTTCTGTATTGAGTAAAAGTAAGATTTCAAGACGAAAGTGTTGCTTTTTAAAATAATAAATCAGTAAAAAAAAAATAAAATAAAAAATAACCCCCAGCCAGAGAAACAAAAATCATGTTATACAAGAAACTGATTTCGGACTTTAAAAAAATACTTTTGTGAAATTAAAGAATTATAAAATCGACGTTTTTTTTATTTTTTTTCGAAAATAGAAACTGTCATTTGTTCAACTTGGGATTTATAGAAGCAGATACATCCCCGACAAAATATGCTGTATTTCATTTGCTTCATATATAGAAGTGGACACTGAGGTCACTACCACACAACGACAACCTGTTTCATGTTTCACAGCAGTTTTCAAGCCATGTGTGTTCCGTTTTGACACGACTATTTATATATGTTGGTCAGTGGTGCCTTATGTCTAGTAAAGTCTATTGTATTGTCCTGACATTTTACTGGGTGGATATCAACGGTTAAGTTTCAAATTTTTCTAGAGGCTATTGAGTGGAAATAATTGTGGATCCGGATGCAGTTATTTGTTAACATTTTACTCAATATTTATTACTACATTTACTTGTGTTTATGTCATCATTCGTATTTTCGTAATTTGTTTATTAATTATTTATTTGTTTATAAAGTTTTTTTTTCGTAGGGGTTAGTTATCTTATTTGTTTAGTATCAAATATTAAGTTTGCCGAAAGTAGGTTACATTATCTGCGTTGCATATATTTGCATTTATACTGGTTGTATTTTACAAGGTATTCGTTTTTGGTTTTCGATTTTTAAGCAACATAATAAAAATTGGTTTTCATATTTGCATTTTGAGATGAGTTCTGATCGTTTATTTAGTGCTTTGTGTTTGTCTGGGAAGGTGATTATAGCTATTTTCTCCTCCAGAGAGTGTTTACAATTTTTGGATTTATTGTCGTCAGCAGTTGCTGTGTGTGTGTGTGTATATATATATATATATATATATATATATATATATATATACATACACATATATATATATGCACACATATATATATATATATATATATATTTACACAGACATAGACATACACACATATTTAGACACATACAGACATAGATATTTACACAGACACACACACACACATATTTATACACATACAGACATACACATATATATACAGACACACAGACATACACACATATTTATACACATACAGACATACACACATATATACAGACACACACACATATTTATACACATACACATATATTTACAGACATACATAGATATTTACACACATACATACATACACATATATTTACACAGGCACACACACATATTTATACACATACACATATAATTACAGACATACATAGATATTTACACAAATACATACACACACACACATAATATATATATATATATATATATTAATAAATATTTGACTCTTTTTCCGGAAAAATTATTTCCCACCGGTTTCATTTCTCTTACAAATAATGTTTCAATGCAGTTCTCCTTCTTCCCTCTTTCTATCTCTAATCACAGTGCGTTTGAAGTGCCCTTTTCTATCATTTCCATCTTTAAAATCGGTATGGTTAGATCAATATTTAGAAATTTATTCTGCGTAAGCAATTTTCTTTCCACTCAAAAGAGACAGAAGCTCTTTGACCGAAGCAGACTCCGGTCATATTCTTCTCTCCAAATCTATCGAAACTTGAATGCTTCCGATTTGAAAATCGAGTTACACAGCTATTCTCGTATTTACAGGTTGCACATTAACGGCCTAACTGAGATTGTTACACGCAGGTGTCTTCTCTACGCTAATCGTAACTATTCACAACTCTTCTATACGATTCTTCCGACTGGCGAGATCTACGCAGATTCCGTAACCTGTATGTAATACAGAGGGATAAGACAGCCAGCTGAAGGCTTGCGACCTCAAGTAGAAACGTGACCCATCGACTCGAGCAGAAATCTTTTTACCTCCGCAACTTATCACATGATCAGCCAAAACGGATTTCATTGTTTCTCGTAAGCAAACGACCACATCACATTTACTTGCGCATTTGATATCCTAAGACATTGGCAATGGGACGAGAACAGTCTACGCGCGAAGATTAAATAAATTGTGCTATTGATTATTCAGATCTATATACACCTGTGAAAAGCTGAAGGGCACATCGGTTGAAACATTGTGATAGCAACAATAAAAATGGAGGACAGTAGCCCGAATGTAAATAGTGTAAATAATGGTAAAATAGACAGTAATTCAAACAAACATTATTATCGGAATTTCAGGTGAAGCATTTTCATTATTGATTATAATTTTTATCAATATATTAGGTTGGTGCAAAAATAATGACGTAATAATGTCGTTTTTGACGTTAAAAATACGTCAAAAACGACATTATTACGTCATTATTTTTGCACCAACCTAATAATTTTTATCAATATATATTAAATGTTTCAAGTATTAGGTTGGTGCAAAAATAATGACGTAATAATGTCGTTTTTTGACGTTAAAAATACATCAAAAAACAACATTATTACGTCATTATTTTTGCCCCAACCTAATATAAATCACCCTTGAGAGTACAATAGACTTTTCTCCAACATTCACGGTCATAATAGACCAGCAGTCTTTTGCGTCTAAGGGCATTTTTCAGGCCTCTTAATACATTGCTTAGTTTATATATGTCTTCGATCATTGCTCACCACAACGTCCTATCCTTTTAAGCGCTTAGTAACTTTTTTTTGCGTTATCTTTCCAAATGTTTTGATATGTATATTTTCTGTATAGCTATAGCGATTTCCATTTGGACACTTCGATGTTGTGTATGGTTAGCAAGCTTACCTCTGACGAGCGAGTTGGGGGATTTCGCTCCTTACTGGTCGCTGCAAACCTTCGGCTTTGTGTTACATCGAAGCTACGCTTAGAAAATCGATATAGATTCCCAGGTTCATACTTTATCGAATGCCTTTGCATCATATATCACGGTTAACCAGTCAAAGCTTTCAAATGTAAATTCATACCCATTTCTTTATTATCTTAGTTCCATTAGAGACAAATTCTCATACATACTAACCACTATTTACATTACTCAGACTATTGTCCTCATCTTTGTCGCCATATTTATTACAACGTTTCGGTCGTTCTACGCTCCGACGTTCTTCAGGTGTTTGGAATATCGAACTGAACCCTTTATTTCGCTCACTGGGGTAGACTGTTCTGGTTCTACGTGCCATGACTAATGGATGTCAGTTATCAGTTATCTCCTGTTAATTCCCCTCTCCAAGTTCTCCACTATTTTAAACGGGTATTGAACTCACACTCTTTGGGTCCTGTCACTGGATCTAACTAATGTCTTTATCCACTGTGCCATGTATCCTTGGCAGATCCACTGACAGGACCCAAAGGGTGTAAGTTCAATACCTGGTTAAGGCAGTGGAGAACTTGGAGAGGGGAATTAACAGGAGAAAACGGATAACTGATATCCATTATACATGGCACGTGAAACTAGAACATTCCATCCCAGTGAGCAAAATAAAGGGTTCAGTTCGACATACAAACCACCTGTTATTCCCATTGATTGTCCCATCATCCATTAACACAAAAATTAAGTAGATTATTCACGGTTTCTCTGTATGTTATGCTGAATACGTCTTGTGAGTGTCGAATTCGTCAACCTCTCTTTCCTCATGATTCCTTAAAATTTCAAAGGATTCTAAATTGTTAGCATTTTCCTTAAAACGTTTAATTGTATGTTTTCACTAGTATTTTCTGCACGGTGATATTTGTATTTTTCTATTCTATTTCGTTCAATTAGGGTTGGTCTTCACACATGATCAGCCAAAACTGATTTCATTGTTTCTCGTAGGAATACGGCCACATCACATTTTAAACACTGGTTCTCGTACGATCACCGAAGTTAATCTACATCCAGTCTAGTCAGTACCTTGATGGGTGACCACTTGAGAATACTATGTGCTGTAAGCTTGGATTTATGGCTGGTGTAATGGTTAATGGCTCGGAATTTTTAATTAGAGTGCCGAGTTTCAATTCTCGTTTGGTTCTTTATATTCACTTACGCGCAAATACCCTCGGGAAAGGTATGAATTCACCTCTTTTCCTCTCGCATATGGGTTAATTAGTAAAACTATTAACATTAAACCATGTAAAAATCATTTACCCTATTTACATTAATCGTACTGTCGTCATCTTTGCCACATTCACGGCGTTTCGGGTCGAAGGACAGAAGTGTTGGTTGAAGTAATCCAATGATTTTAACCAAAGAGTTCTAAGTTCAATACCTGGCCATAGCCAAGGTGAATAAACTCTGGAGCGATGAGTTGCTAAAGAGAAATAACTGACAAAAGCATCGCACGTGGGACTAGAAGAACCTACCCCAGTTGACGAAATAAAAGGTTCGGTTCGAAATTCCAATCATCTGGAGAAGGCCGTAGCGTACAACGGCTAAAATTTCGTGAATATGATAACATTGTAATTAATGTAAATAGTTACAATACCTCATTTCAGAAATATAGACAGAAAAAAAATTACAATCTAAAATTACTTCTTGTCTTTAAACAACCGGCGAAATCTTGATAAGCCAAGGAAAATGATTCCATCATTCAAAGTTTCGCCATTGATTACAACATTTTTCTTAGAGAATTATATTTAAGGGACAGTTAGCTTTAATATTTCTTTCGTTTTTTTTTGTTTTTTTTTTAATTATCTGTCACCACTGCATCGTAATTCTTGGACATGTTTTCTTCCGAAGAAAGATTAACTACAGTGTAGTTCGCAGAATGGAATGACTTTTGTATATTCTCTTAATATCGAACGGACCGCAGATGTTCTGCAACTTCTTTGAGAGTGCGCTGTTCATAACAAAACAGAACATGAAGAAAGCAGAAGAATACAGCTGTCACCACAGTTTGATAACAATAGCAAAACCAACGATTGTGAAAAAAAATATATATACACATATAAACATATATACAAAAAACACACATCCACACAGCTAATATACCTCCAATTATAAAAATATAATTGAAATAAAAATATGCATATTTAAAATATTATAAAGAAAAATAAATGACCACACAAATATCATGGCATATCTACATATGCAATTATCTATATATTAATATATTTTCTGCTTATTTTTATGTTAACCATTCAGCCACAGAGAACTTTTCTAATTTGGACTTTGCTACCCGGAAAGTTCTTTGAGACTGACTGGTGAACAGCACATCAGGTCAAATGACTGTTTCCTTATGGTACAAAGGTTCGATCCTGGACGGAGAACGCAAGTTTTCTACGAAATTTCTCGAACTTTCAGACCGCAAAAAGTGATTGAATTAAACAGAGCATTTACTTAAGCTGTATCCATAAAAATAACGTATAAACAAAAAAAAAATATTTGTCGGATTTAATACATCCATTTCATCTAATATATATATATATATATATATATATATATATATATATATATATATATATATTATTTATACATATTATATATAAATACTAATATAGGTAACTATACTCGTTTCGGAAAACCCTCGAAGAAAAAAAAAACGATACGAGTAAACAACTAACTAAAAAAGCTCAATACAACCGTAGAGCAGGCATAGTCAAACCTAGTGAGCCGAGACAAACCTACCCCGGTTTCACTTAAGCGGATCGTCAGGGAGAGCTGGGCCCAGCCAGCTTTCCTGACGATCCGCTTAAAACCTTTTGTCTGGTTTTATACTTATATATATATATATATATATATATATATATATATATATATATATATATATATATATATTGAGAGTTGTACTATTGGTGAGGAAAATGTATATTATATACATTTTCAAATCTTGTTTATATTTCTTTTCACATCTTAAAATCTTGTCGGCAATTTGTAAGAAATCTTACATCCAAACAAAACATCGCGTGTAAATATTGGCATGAAAGCAAAAGCAGATCTTAAACATATTTCTTGAAATTAAAAATGCTTTTTTTCACCTCTTATTTTCGAGATAATTGTTTGATGTCAGCATCAATGCCGCGTCGAGTTCAGCCTGTGTGTTTCTAAGTTTCCGTGATTTTGACAATCGCAGGTAATTTTCTAAAAGAGAATTTATCTCGCTCAGTCGATAGAGCCCTTCCATTCTAACTACCTTAAGATCGTAGGCGATCATGACCCTCCACAACTTCGTATACTCCTGATATTCTAGTTTCTATTAGACGAATTTCCTTTCTTGCCTGATGCAGACGGCCACGACACACAACACATAAGCTCTTCTTATGACTGACAATAAGTCTTTATCTTTTTTTCTAATTCATAGTTAGTCTTTTCTTCTGGCTTTCCTCGACCACATTTCTCAGGTCTCCTATTTTCCTAATGAATCAACTTTCAAGCCTGTCATTTGCGTACCAGATGCCATTAAATGTTAGATCTTGTCAGTTCCCTCATTTTCTTAGAATAAGAACAAGGAAATGATTCGATATTGGAATATCGCTTTAGGTAGGTATTTATGGCTCTCGACAACTTCCTAACCATTCTAACTTAATAACATTTGTGCTTTTCTTATCTCTCTTAATCCCTTTTCTACCATTCACTTACGTTAAGTAGATTATTAGCTGCTTTCTTATGTCTATCTTATCTCTAATATGCCCTGAGGCTATCAGATTATCCAGACCTTATTTCCTCATTTTGCATCGTAAAAATTTCAGTTGTCCCTTTATGATTCTAACCATAAATATCCTTTTCGTTTCTATCATCCTTAAAATGTTCTTTTTATTCACATGTTCAGTCAACAGAATTCTCAGCATCCTTCTGTGAAAACAATTCTGTTGCTTCAAGTCTGATCCTCATCTGTGAGGAGATTGTCAAATATCAACCGTCATAGAAGAGGATTCATATTATATAGCAGGTAAGTAGTCTTTTCTTTGTTTCTAACGAAATACTCCAGTTTCTTAATACTTTGCTTTGCTTTTGGAAGGCACCTTACGCTATGTAAATGCGTATTTGGATTTCCTTTTCGTTGGCACATTTTCCGATGTATCAACAATTATACAGCTTGTAAGTCTTTTGAACTACAAAATCTGAAGACATTCTTTACTTCCGGATTGAAACCGGTTCAAAGGTTTCCTTCCATGTAGTTTGTATTTAACAAAATAAAATCTTATTCATTGGCACAGAATTTGTAAGAAAAAAAAATTGCCCCATCAAATTGTACAATTACTAATTTCAAGACAAAAAATACATTTATTTTTCAGTATAGACTTGGCATTCGTGCCAAAAGCCTAATGATTTGTAAACATTCATTTAGCAGAGCTTAAATTTTGGCACAAGGCCATTAGCTTAGTGCACTCATTGATAATCGAACTGACTACAAAATACAAATTATTTACTAGATTAATTTCCCAGTCGATGCAAGGCGATGATAATAGTAGCAGTTTCCTTAAAAGGAAATATTCCGCATACACTGACCAAGCAACCGAGTTACGTTTTTCATTCACTGCCCATCGAGCTGAGATCGAACTGAAGTATGTTCTAATCTCTAACGGTAATGTTACCAGTTTTTTTATTTTTGTTTTTTTATAAGGAAACATTCTATATCCATTGACCGAGCAGCCAGTGCTACTCAAATAACGTTTTTCCACTCACTGCCCTTCGAGCTGGGATCGAAGTGTAGTATCTGTTCTCATATCTAATGGTAATATTACTAGTTACCTTATAACTGAACATACTCTATTCGTTGACAGAGCAGCCTGTTCATTTTCGGTAGAAATTTATTAAAAAAACAAAACAACAAAAAAAAAACAAAAAAAAAACAAAGCAAAAAAGAAACTCTCTCTTAAAACAATTTTTTCCGTAAAATGGATTTCTTAAGACCACTATTATCGTTCTTCAATACTGAGGGGGTGGTTCCTTCCTAAGATTTTGGCTGTAGTTGTGTGGAACTTAAACATCTTGATTATGCCATATTTCAAGATCTTCCCCCGTTCTCTGGCGCAACGCAATCTTTCTGCCTTGATTTGTTCAACATTAGAACTCTACGAAAAGGATATGAAACTTAACCAGGGCTTTTGCTGTGGAGCAACGTTTTATGCCCGAATAGTTGGAAAATTACCGTTCCAAATATGAGATTCGAATTCGAAGCTAACTCTAAGAAAACGATCCTTGCGTGGGGGTCTTTTTGAGGAGTTCCTGTATATCTATCCACAGGTTGGCCCAATGCTTTTGAAGGAAAGTGATCAGACGAATCACTCTCATCGAGTGACAGGTGCTATCTACTTTAGTTGTTACTGTTGTTGAATAACTTCAAGTGATGCCGTTTCAATTATTTGGTATAATTCTTGGTGCGCGATTATGTAGCAGCAGTCTAGAAGGTTCGAAGAGAAATGGTCCTCGTTAAGAATCTACAGGCTTTATTTACTCGGATTCATTCTTAACAATTGATGTGGTAAAATGGTTGTATACATCTGACGGTTTAGATATCGCTGAACGATTTGGGCGCCAGACATGAAATCCGTATAAAAGTCTTGATCTGTTACGGCTATACATAACTTTACTCAGGTTTCATGATTTGGTTATGGTTTTCTATAGGCCTTTTGTATCTGAGTACATTTACTGATGGTAGGTGTATGCAACAGATACCCTATGTACTCAATGCCCGTAGCAGCCAACTGCACAGCCATATTTGTCTTTTTCAACACGCACTGTGTTCACCTGTGGTTAATACTATAACTCTAATGAACGGAAATTACGTTCCATGGTGCTCTCTTTCAGAAACTGTAATCAAAAACGCCAGTACACTCAAACACTCGGTCACGATGACATGTAATTTTGTGATTCGTCTGATCACTTTCCTTCAAAAGCATTGGGCCAACCTGTGGATAGATTTACAGGAACTCCTCAAAAAGACCCCCACGCAAGGATCGTTTTCTTAGAGTTAGCTTCGAATTCGAATCTCATATTTGGAACGGTAATTT